CGCTCTTCCTCTTGTGTATGACCGCCTGCTGTGTCACTGCGCTCCTACGCTGCTGCTTCCCCTGATGAAATGCACTGGCAGCAGTTGTGTGTGCGTGCACGTGCATGCGTGCATTTGTGGTCACACGTGCATACACCTGTCTGGGTGCAGTTCTGGGTCCCTTGGCGATGCACGACCTGTTAGCCCTGGGCAGCGGCTGGCTGGGCAAGGCGGGGAGGCAGCAGCAAGCGCCGTGCTGACGCTGCACGTAAAGCATGTCCCAGGCCTCCGGTGCCTGGCGAGGCGGCCGCGTGCTGATGTGCTGCACTCGCCCCCGCACCGCAGCGCAGTGAAGCACCCACGCCGGCACAGCAGCGCCGTGTCGCTTGGCTCCCCTCGGTGCTGCTGTAACGAGCTCCCCTGCGGTGCCAGTCCCGGCCCATGCATGGGGCGACAAGGCTCGTGGTTCCCTTGGTTTAATTGTGAAGATGTTTTAAAGCACCTGTCAGCACGAGGGGAGCGGGGCGGCATGAGAGCGCTGTGTGCTTGGAGCAGGAGCTCCTGCCCTGGTCTTGGGGGCAGGCATTAGCATCCGTGCCCCCGCAGGGCTACCGTCTCTGGGCTTTATCTTGGGCAGAGGTTTTGAAAGCCTTGTGTGGGATGAGATAGTTGGAGCTGGTGCTGCTTTGAGCAGGGGGTTGGAGCAGATGATCCCCAGGTCCCTTCCGGCCCTCATTGCCTACGATGCCGCGCTGAATGAAGCTCGGCACCCGCGCTGCCTCGGCAAGCTCGGGAGCGGGATGGGACAAAGCTGGCGCGTCACGGAGCTGGTTTGGGGATGGCGTTTCGCCGCCCCACCTCCCAGGGAGCACCTCGATCCTGTAGCGGACAAAGTCTGGACAAGAAGCCGGCAAAGGCTGGCACTGGCCGGGACAGCGCCATAACCGAGTGAGGAAATGTACTGGCACGCGTCAATAAAATAGCTAAATAAATCTTTAATATTTCTAATTGCAAATGTACATAAATTGCACAGCCACATCATGTCTTCGAACACCAATGACTTTCTCTGTACATTATTACATAGTTTAAAAGACGCTGAAGGAGGTTCAGCAAACACTTCCACTGCTCTTGGTTTTGTTCTGGGTTTTTTGTTTTTAAACATACTTACAAAAAAAAGGGTTTCGTTTCTTTTTTTTTTGTTTTGTTTTCTTTATAAGAGGGATATAAAACATAGCGACTGCTTATCAGGAACAAGGATCAGCCTAAGCAGACAGACAGAGAGAGAGGTATATCTTAAGACACAGTGATGTATGAGAGAGGAATATGTGACCATGGAGACTGCACTTTGGGGTACTGGTAATTGATGCAGAACCACACACAATTTACAGCGATGTCACAGCTCACGTTGCCTGTGAAAGTCAATTGGTGAGACTGAAACCCTCTTCCAGCGCACGCGCGTGTTAGGAGTATTGTGTAGCGTCCTCTCGGACCGGATTTGGTTGGGAAAGCCTGTGCTCAGCATGTTTTTGATAGGTTTACATCTTTCCCTCCTCACTCCAACCCAGCCGGGCTCCACGCCGGCCCAGCCAAGAGGCAGGACGACAGCTCGGGGATGGGCGCGGCGGGTACGCTCGGCTGATGCTTGACGTCCGGCCGTGGCTACAGACATAAGTTGCGTGGCCGACGCTGCACTTCATCCTGGGGCACGTGGACCAGTCCTAGAGCCTGACAGAATGGGACCCCCCCCCCTTAGCTTGAGGCAGCTTAAGGACGCACGGCACCCAAGTGACGTGTCTGCGGGCAGTACAAGCCCCGAGGGACAGGGGTGCAGCACAACGGGGAGGATGGGAGAGGCCTAGCCGATGGTCTGCAGGGAGCTCCCCCCACCCCAGGGACCACGGCAGGGGTGCTGCCGGGCTCGGGCTGTCTCGCGGGGCAAAGCCAGCGGCTGAGAGGGAGACGAGCTCGGGGGAGTGGACGATGCGACTGTCCTCTGGGCAGAGCGCTGCCCTGGTCCTGCAGCACGTGGCTGCCTGTCGGCGGGCATCCCCACCTCTGCTTCTCCGGCCTGACCTCCCCGTTAGGGCTTGCGGTGCGCCCACAGGCCTCGGCAGCGTCAGAGCCGCGCTCAGCCACGGCGGCAGAGAACTGCCTCTCTCCAGAGGAACTCAGTGATGGGATAAGGCCGCTGGCCCCTCTCCCTGCCAAAACAGAGTGAGTCCTTGTGGCTTAGGTTTTAAAGCAGGGAATTGGTTGCATGAGCAGATGCTGTGATCCTTCGCTGGGCCCCGGCACATCCAGGGAGGCTGCCAGCCCGTGGCTCCCTGCACAGCCACGTGTGTCCAGCATCACATGCAAACTTAGCCAGGTAAGTCCAAAAACCAGGGGGTGGGAAGGGGGGGGTACGACTGGCAGTACAAGCAGGTGCTATAAAAACACCCCTTCCCCCTGTCTAAAGACAAGACTACAGCCCAACTGCAGAGTTCCCTGCTCTCTTTTAGGTGGAGCCTAACATTTCTGTGCAACACGGAAGTGACCGCTGGGAGTGGCTGTTCCCAAAATGGTTGGACTGCGGGGACCGGGCTAGCCCTGGGTCTTTGGGCACAGAGCCCGGCCCGTCTGCTCTTATTAGACCAGAAAGCGGCCCTGACCCCACCACCTCCCTCGTGCTCTCTTTAAGCCCCAAAGAGCAGCCCTGGGCCCTGGAGATGGACCATACCCCACATCCTGGAGCCAGATCAGGCTCTTCCCCCACCAGACAGCTGAGATCCCCAATCTGGGTCCGACCTGGCTGGGCTGAGCCTACCGCCGGCATAAACAGCAGTACAATACAGTCACGGCCCCGCGCCTACAAGCAGCACGCGCCTCTGCACAGCTGGTAGGTAAAGCGGGCACGCGGCCGGCAAACACCCAGCGCAGTCACAGGGGCATCGCCAGGCTGGCATCACGCTCCGCGCTGCACATGCACCCCGGTGCCCGCAGAGCCCGAGCACCAGCGTGAAGCGTGCAGGTCATGGGGTAGCTGGGTCCCGCTCTGCTACTGCGTGCACCTCCCCAAACTGGCTCCAGGATGATAGGACCCCTGTGAGGTGCGGGGCTTGGCCAGATCTCATGGGGCACAGCCGGAGGCATGCACCCCGGGCATGGCGAACACGTGCTTTGGAGCAACAGTAGACACGGGCTGGAAGCACAGCCTCGGTGAGCAGCACTCGGGGCTTTGAGGTGGGTGGTTTCAGACCTGGATCCAAGCATTGCTGGGGGGGAGGTGGTTTCTTTGCTAAAGAGAGATTTCCTCTGGACTGGGGAGGGGGCGCGTTGTACTGGCTCAAGAAACTAAACAGCTTCAGCAACAGGTGCTGGGTTTGGCCCTTCTGCAGGTCTGAGGGCTCATGTGGAAGGCCTGATGGATGGCTGTCTGCTTTCCAAAAAAGCAACGCTGGGCTCTAATTTGGGAGCCTGATGTTACCCAGGAATTAACCTAGTCACTGAGAAGCCAGGAGAGCGGTGCCTGGGCGTGTAGGGGAACCAGGGGGTAAGAGGACCTGTACTTCGCTTCAGCACTCGGCAATTGTTTTGTGGCTTTTGCATCCTCCCCACCCCCCTTTAATTCTTACGGGCCACGCTCCTTTTGCAGCCAAAAAGTTTCCTAGCATGTCCACGTATGAATGGAAACCAGTTCCTGCCTCTGCCCCCTGCTAGCATTGTCATCCTTGCATCCTATTTGTCTCTCTCTCAAGAGCTTCCATCTCACAGAGGACGAATATTTCAGTACTGGAAAAAAAAAATAGCCGGGTTTAAAAAAATACATCTCAGGGCAACAGCTGTTTAAAGTCATCTTTTTGCAGGGTTTGCGGAAGGTATTTGACACCGAGACAATGGTGGATAAAAGTGCACGTACCAAATTGTTCACAGTACCCTGTATGGTGCTAACGTGTGTGGGTCTTTCTCCGCAGTAATTCTGAGTGTCAGTTTTGTGAGCTTCTTCAAAGCCATCTCTGCTAATGCTCCAATATGCAGTGGTGACCTTACTTGGCATAAATATTTAGTTATTACTTTCCTCTGAGGAGTTTCTTTTTTTTATGTTGGCGCCAAGCTGTGAATTTAAATCAGGAGATGGGCCGGCAT